AACTCTTATCACAATCCATACACACATCAATTGTGTAAAGCGCATTTGTACATTCATTGCCCTCGTCATTCTCAAAACATTTCCTCTCCACTTAAACCCCCGGCATTAGGTCCCCATTTTTCCCCTCCCTCCGCATCTGCACATTCTAGCAAGGACTAACCTAGGAGACTTTTGTTAGGATATCTTCCCCCATCCACCCTATATTCCTGACCTTGCTCCTTCAGACGTCCTTGTTCCGCAAAATCCAAAGAGCACTTAAAGGAATATGATTTGAGCCTCTGAAAAATGCTCAAGCTTCCAGTCGGATGTGATTTTAATTAAAAAGTACAGAATTCTTTGGAGGAAAATTAGAAATACAGCATCTTAGATGGAGGATATGCCCAGAAAAACAGATCTTTAAAAAAAAAAAGTTGCTATCATTTTATAGCAGTGCTTTCTGACTTACCATGCCACGTTTTCACTCAAGGCTATTTATTATGTAGGTGGGCATGCAATGATAAAGCAAGATTTCCAAATATAGTGACATAGAAAACGTGAAGCTTAGAACAGTAGTCTGAGTTAAATACAAACGAGTAATATGGGAATATAGAATTTCTGAATGTATACCCGAAATGTGTTTTTTACTACAGGGCAATTAGACCTGGGGACAGAAGAAAGCCTCAAAGCCTATTTATTGCTAAGATTAGCTTTAAAAAAAAAAAAAAGCTATTCTTCCAGCAGCAGGTAAAACTGTATGAGCTACTCTCAAAATCATTGCTCCTGCTCATTGATTTTTGTATCAAAGTTCATTCAGGCAGTATACTGATTAGTTACTAAAATACATGGGGAAGCCTTCAGGAGGCTGTAGGGGAATAGTGCCCCTGCTAATTGTGCCTACTGTTTAATAAGATTTAGCCCTGATGGGGTGGATTGGCTGAGAAGGAGAATGGGTGTCAGTAGAGACTCTGAAACTTGCTTTAGAACATAGGGAAGTTAAAGCAAATGGCAGAAATGATGAGGTAAAAAGTTAAACAGAAGATGTCCAAAAGTGGCCAAAGAGACCAAAAAATATATAATGAAATGTGCAAAGACGTGGAGTTAGAAAACCAAAAAAGAAGAACATGCTCAGTATTGCCTCTCTGGGAAAATTGAAGAAAAAATGTAAGACTTAGTTGAACTACTGAAGGATTCTAATTGAGGCATGACGCAACAAAAGAAGATGTAAGGACAACAAAGAATCGCTGAACCAAAAAGAATTGGTTGACAGTCAATCATTTCAGGAGGGAGCATATGATCAAGCACTGATGATATAAAGGAATACGCCCAAACTGCTCTGAAGGCATCAGTGAAAATAAGGCTCCAGGAATTGATAGAACACCAATGGAAATGCCCCAACAAATGACACAATGCTGGAGGTGGTCACTCACCTATGCTGAGATATTTAAAAGACAGCGCCTTGACCAACTGAATGGAGGAGATCGATATTCATGCCCATTTCAAAGAAAGGTGGTCTAACAGAATGCAGAACAATATCATTAATGTCACATGCGAGGACAATTTTGCTGAGGATATGTCAAAGACAGCTGCAACAGTACTTCCCTGGGGAACTGCTAGAAATCCAAGCTGGATTCAGAAGAGGATGTGAAATAAATAATATTATTGCTGGTGTCAGATCCATCTTGGCTGAAAGTAGAAAGTACCATAAAGATGTTTGCTTGTATTTCATTGACTAAATCAAGGGTATTCAATTTTGTGGATCATGATGTTATGATAATGTGACGAAGAATGAGACTTTCAGAACCCTTCATTGATCTCCTGGAGAAACTGTATGTCAACCAAGAAGCAATGGTTTGACTGGAACAAGGGGACACTGCATGTTAAATTCAGGGAAAGTGTGACCCAGGGTTGTATTCTTTCATCCTACAGATTCCATCTGCATGCTGAGCACATAATTCAATTAGCTGGACTGTATGAAGAAAATCTCAACCTCAGGATTGCAGGAAAACAAATTAATAGCCTGTGATATTTAGAGGACACAATCTTGATTGTTATCATTGAAATGGACTTGAAGTGCTTGCTAACGAAGACCAAACACTACATCTTTCCGTATGGATTAACACTCAGTACAAAGAAAACAAAAACTGTCACAACTGAGCCAATAGACAATGTCATGATAAATGGAGAAAACACTGAAGTTGCCAAGGATTTCATTGTAGTTGAATCCACAGTCAACACCCCTGAACTCCAGGAGTCAAAAAAGCAAGCAATATATTGCATTGGGTAAAAGCTGCTACAAAAGATCTCTTCAAAGTATTCAAAAACAAAGACAATATTTACTTAGAGGAGTATTAAATTTCCAATTGCTGGACAATGAATAAGGAAGATCAATAACGACTGATGCATACGAATTTAGTATTGGTGACGAATATTGTATACCACGACTAACAGAGGAACAAATAAATATGTTCTAGCGGTAGAGATCAAATGCTCCTTTGAAATACATGAGGATGGGAAAGACTTGGTTTTGCGTTGTGCTTGGTTAAGCAGAGGGTGTGCATAAGAGAAGAAACCCCTCAAGGAGAGGAATTGACACCGTGGCTTGCAGCAGTGTGTTCAAACACAATGATTGTCAGGATAGCACAAGACCTGGAAGTGTTTTGTCACTACTAGAGGAACCGACTTTGGGGCCCCGAACAGCAGCATCCGTGGTGGAGCAGTGGTTGAGTGCTTGGCTGCTAACCGTCAATGTCCTCAATTGAAATCCAACAGCCACTGCAGGAGAAGGCCTGGCATCTATTTCCATACGGATTACTGCTTTGGAAAACGCACAAGACAAGTCTGTGTTGTTCATTTCATCATTTGATATCTGTATCGCCCTCCTGGTCCTTTTTACATTTTAAGTCGCTTGGGAAAATGAACGTTTGACATAATACGTATGTAACTTCCGTTAAACAATTCGGTCACACCTACGCACAATTGTTTTGCTTGAAGATTGCACAACAGCTTCAGATTTTAATGATATTCCCCCCAGCTCTAGAGAAGACTGGAAAACGGACAGGCCCTCTTATGAAAACGAGGGGCTGCTTCAACCACATTTTTCACAAGCCCTTTCGCTGTTTCCCAAAGGTGCTTTTCCAGTAGTGTTTCACCCTTGACAAATATCAACGGTCCGTTAGACGATCAGAAACTATGAAAATAAAAACGGCCGCCAGAGAGTCACGCTTCTGTCATCATATCCTCATTCCTTTGATTGAGGTGCAATGTGCTAGGGACGCCTTTTCACCTCTGAAAACTGTCAAACAGCCTCCCCAGAGCGACTCGCGTGTTAAAAGCACAGTCCCAGCCAGGACCAAAGCGCAGCTGAAATCCGTTAGGCCAGCAACGCTCGCTTCCAGCACAGGTCGACCTGGAGCAATCACCTCCAACCTGGGAAAGAGGGGAGGCCAGCGCAAACTACAATTCCCAGGAGGCATACCGGGAGCGGGACCCACGCACGCGCAGTCCAGCCCCGGAGGCCCAGGGTTGCTGCGGGGCCTTCTGGGAGAGGAAAATGGCCGTGCGGCGGCTGCGACTCGGTGTAGGAAGAGCGCTCGGGGTCCCGGCGACACGGAAGCGCGGGAGCCGAGTGTATAGCACGTCCCAGGCCTTTGGAGAGGTCCTCGGGCTCCCGAGCAGGCAGTTCACGAAGTTGGTGTTCCCGCTGCAGGAGCTCTCGCGGCACCTCGCGCCGGACTCGGGGCACAACCTTCACCTGCGGATCTTCGACCCGAGCCTGGAGGACCTAGCGCGGGCGGACCACCTCTTCACCACCACGGCCCGGCACCGCATCGAGTACGTCAGCTCGGCTGTGCGCCTGGACCACGCCCCGGACCTCCTGCGCCCCGAGGTGAGAGCGCCCCGGGGTGAGAGCGCCCCGAGGTGAGAGCGGCCAGGTTCGCACCCGCGCGCTCTGACAGCCCTAGGAAACCCGAGGTGCCAGCCTGGGCTGCTGTCACCGTTTTTTGTTGTTGTGGGGATTTTGGGTTTTGGGGCACCTAAAAGAGAGATTAGTAGCTTTGTTCTGGTTAATTTTCCAGTTTTCGAAATGCACTTCTCAACTAAATGAACATGCTTATTAGCTTGAACTGTTTGGGTAGTGAATGCAGAAGAATTCAGAAGGTTTCAACTAAGCCCAACAAAAGTCACTGCCTTTTTACCAGCCCTTTCCTATTTAAAGTGGATTCCCATTCATTGCACTTCATTGAAAACGTGTCCAAGGAATTCTGGCCGAATGCAGAACCTAAGAATTTAATAATCACACAACATGAGCCAAGCCATGTCACAATCTAAATTTCCCAGCATGTGCAAAAGCCCATCCTATTTTTAAATAACAATGTGAAAAGTTCATGAAACAGCTGTTATTAGTAAAGTTTTCTGATTCCCCTCTCCCTCTGCCCCTCCCTGTAAGGTAGTCGAGAGGCACCATAGGCCAAATCAGTCGAATTAGAACAAACAGGCTTTATTAGGGAGAAAAAACCTAGCCTCGGTGGAGTCCCACAGTACAAAATGTCCAGGCTGGGGGAGTCGCACTGCATGCTACAGGGATGATGCTTATATGGACAGGTATGTCCGAGTTTCTGGAATATAAGGTGTCTTCCTGGTTCCGGGTGTATTGGTGCCGGGTGCAGAGCGGTGGGCGAAAACAAAAGCAGGCACTGAGCCAAATGGGCCCCACTGGTGCAGGTGCTGGTGCCGGATGCAGAGCGGCAGGTGGAGAAAAAAGTGGGCCATTAGCCAGCTCTGGTCAACTCCGCAGGTGTGTGTGGGAGATTCAAGGCCACTTGCTGCTAGTTGTTTCAGCCAGCTCTGGTCAGCTGCGCTCGGGTTGGGGAGACTCAAGGTCACTTGCTGATAGAAGCCGGCCTGGTATTGATCCAGCCATACATTCCCAACCCTTTGGTCATATGGGCTATGACTCTTATGGCTACTTCCTGCGGGTACTGGGACGGTGTGGGAGGGCTTACGGGTTGGGAATGTCTCCTGTGGGAGAGGACTGTAAGGGTGCAATAACATTTGATTAACAGCAACATGAGGAATTTTTTTGCATTGGTTGCGAAGAAAGTTCAAACAGGGCACCAGAAGTAGCACAGCACAGATGGTTATAAGAGGTCTTATTAAGGGTGCAACCCAACCGATGAATGGATTAGACCACCAACCTCCTTGTAAGATGCCGGGGGCCTGACCAGATAGCTTTTTTCCCAACTTACAAAGTTTGTTTATACTGGTTTCCACCAACCCGGATTCGTTAACATAATAGCAACACTTCTTATTCAGGAATATACGTGTTCCCCCTTATCGACCGTTAAGAGGTCTAGGGCTTTTCTGTTTTGTAAGGCTACTTGGGCTAGGGATGTTATTTGGTGCTGTAAGAGATTTAAACATAATGCAGTGTTTTTTAATTGCTGCTTGCAGTTTGGAGGACCAGCTTTGTGAAGAGCTCAGAGAGTGGGATAGGGCTCCTGCCCCCATTCCTGAGCCAACCAAGGAAGAGGCTACCGCTAAACCAACCATGACAGGGAGGAACACTGCCCTTGTGTGTCTGGTGGTGCCATGGGAGGGACTTTGCAGAGCGTTTATCTCAGGGACTGTATATAGTTAGCTGGGGAACTAGGTGTCCGGCATACGTAGATGGGATGGGGAAGGAGTGGAAAGGTTTTTTGTCAGGGTGCCATTGCACCAAAAGAATTTGGCTGGTGGGTGGGGCATTGAGGGGAAAAGTGAGGTTACTTGTGGTGTTGTTACAACCTTGTTCCGGGTCAGAATAGTAAAACGGCCATTTTTTTAGCAGTGGGTTGTGGAACAGGGGAGCTTTAATTACTGGTGGAAAGGCACCTGTTTCCGTGTAGTTAAACAGTTGAGGTAAAGGTACTGCTGCCAGAGGAGACCTATGGAGGGCAGCACAAAGGAAACAAGAGGAAAGATTAACCAGGTTGGAATTGTTAAGAAGGGCTGCCCTTTCTTGGATAACAGTGAGCCAAGAAAAAGGTTTTTCCTTGGACCTCTGTCCTGTAACCTGTTTTTGAAGTTCTTGTTGGGCTTTTTGAATTAGCCGGGTTTGATCGGCCAGCCAGTGTGTACGTAAGCATGATAGATATATATAGATTGATAAGGGTAAGAGGAACCCAGATACCAGTAGATTTTTTTTGCCAGTGAGTGTCCCATGGGTCAGGGATGTTGATCCAGAAAGTACCGTTAGGATGGTTACCGGTGAGACGATACTTTTGTTTCCGCTTTCCTTCCAGATCCGTTTGGTATTTGTGCATCACACAGGAATTCCATGGGCAACCTCCATTTTCTTTTACCCATTTAGTGCTGCAACCGCTGGATTTGGTTTGGTCATACAGGAAACAGGAGGGGTGGGACCACATTGGGGGAGTGCAGTGAAAGGTCTTACAGGAACTGACACCAGAGATTGGCAGCCTTCAGGCTGACAATACTTTTTGCCTATAACCTGCAAATGGGTTCCCGAATCATCAGCCCAGGTTTCAGTAACTATGCCATTGGTTGCTGGGTGACCGCATTTCCGTGTACTGGATTTCCGTGTTTACGGAAGCCAACACCTGAAGAGGAAAAAAACAGGAACAAATCGTAACATAACTTTAGAGCCCCAAACAGACCTTTTGACTAGTGGTTCAATTGGTTGGAGCGGTTGCTGCAAGGCTTCTTCCAAAAACATAGTAAGGGGATAAAAAAGAAAAAGAGGAGGAGGCATGCCGAAATCATTTAGGGGGGGGGTTTAGTTAGGCAGAGTGAAGTTGGGCCAATGAGGTTACAGGTTTACTTGTTTTAAGTGGGTTTGGGTTCCAGCGGTGCTTGCCTCACCCGCGTCAGATGATACCACCCCGTCAGTTATACCAGTTTGACTGCCGATGGGGTAGTGAGTATTATGGTGTGTGGTCCTTTCCACCATGTCTGGAGTCCAGGGTTGGGCGCAGGACGAGTTTTTACTAGGACTTTGTCTCCTGGCGAGAGGTCAGGGGTTGGGTGCCCAGAAGAGGTGTTTCCCACGCCCAGAAGGTGTTGGTCTGCGTGGGACCTGAGTAAATGCGGAGCAAAGATAGAGTGGGTAAGCAAGCTGAAAGCGGAGTTTCATTCTGAGGCAGAGAATAATTTAAGACAAATGGGCGGCTGTATAGAATTTTAGACTGGCTGAGACCCGTGGGCTTCCTGGGGGAAGCCCAGAGGTGGGTTTAGGCAACAGGAAGGAGATCTGGCCACGAGAGGCGGACGTCTAAGGAGAGCTTAGTTAACTGGGATTTTGTAAGTTTGTTGGCGCACTTAACCTTGCCTGACGATATTTAAGATGTTTTTGTTTAGGCATGTGCGTAAAATCAGTTGTCCGGTTTTCACCGGGAGGTTTTCGTGGAATTGGTGGAGGTTTCTTGGAGGTTTCTTGAATATTGCTCTGGGAGGAGCGTCTGGCCCCAGGGTGGCTACAGCAGTAAAAAGGAGATGGGCAGCGCGAGGCAGCTGAGGTCTTAGGGAAATGGAGGCTTTAAGGCATTGTAAAGTCTCTCGTTTGAGCAACGGAACAGGACATGAGGGGGTTATTAGGAATGGATGGGAGAAAGGGTATTAGTTTAAGACGCAGAGCAAGAGGGGGTTTATTGGGGGTTGAGGAGGTGCCATCCATCCCCATTACAGTGACCATGGAAGGAAGACTACTCCCGGCATACGAAGGAAGGATGGAATAGCCCCTGTGTCCAATAAACCAGAGGGGGACTTACCCACTATCTGGATGGTGGCCCTTGGCTCAGGTAGGGTTATTGGGGTATCCGAGTGTGGGCAAGAACAGAGCAGGCGCTGAGCCAAATGGGCGGTGCCAGTGCCAGGTGCAGAGCGGCAGGTGGAGAACAAAGTGGGCCATTAGCCAGCTCTGGTCTGCTCTGCAGGTGTGTGTGGGCGATTCAAGGCCACTTGCTGCTAGTTGCTTCAGCTAGCTCTGGTCAGCTGCACGCAGGTGGGGGAGACTCAAGGTCACTTGCTGCTAGAATCCAGCCTGGTATTGATCCGGCCATAGACCCACCCACCCATGGGCCTCCTCAGCTTTAATAATTTGTGCCAACTGTGCACAAGAGGGAATCTCAGATTTCATGCAGGGTCCAGTCATTTTGAAGTGTTGACCCTGGTTTTGCAAAAATATGAGGGGATAACCCCCCTAAAAAACGGCATATTTTCCCCAAAGCTATGTATTTAAATTTTTTAACAAAACAACCATATCACCTTCAAAATACATTTGTCAAATCTGAGATTCCAAAACATTTTTCAAACTCATCTGTTTGGGTGGCTGACAGCACCTCCCTCATTTTTTTTCTTCACCTCTTCTATGTTGTCAAATCGCTGCCCTTTCATGACCCACTTCATTCTCAGAAACAAAAAAGTCGCATGGAGCAAAGTCAGGTGAGGCAGGTGCTTGGGGGTAAGAGAGGCGTGCTGTTTTGCGGTTGTTGTGTTTTTTGTGTGCCAAAACTGCTATGCTGAGATGGCCGCGTGAGCAGGTGCACTGTCATGGTGGCAAAACCAGTCCCCCTTCTGCCACAAATCAGGCCTTTTTTGTCACACACTGCTATGCAATCTTTTCAGAACCTCTAAATAGAAAGTGTAAGTACCAGTCAGACCTGGTGGAATGAACTCCAAATGCACTATCCCACTCACATCAGCAGAGCTTTTTTCCCCTTTTGGGGGGGGGGTACCCCCTCGTATTTAGTATTTCAAGCCCTGTCCATTAAATGCCCCTCCACTCCCCACCCCATTGTATTAATAACTTAAAAATGTCATCACAAATGTTCAGAACACCCCCAGAGGGTGGTTCTGGCCTCCTGGGGAATCACTGGTTTGTATTGTACCCTTTTCAGTGCTGTTCAGTACAACAGAACAAACACTGCCCCTCGCTGCAGCCACTGTGCTAATCCATTTCTTTGAGGGCCCTCCCTCCTCCTCTTTTATTCCCTGACCCTCCACCTTACTTGGTGCCCTTCCCCACGGATACTTCCCACCGAGAACATGTCCAAAGTAAGGAAGACAAGCCTCCACATCCTCTGTCCCGAGGAGCTTTCTGGCAGCACTTCAATACACGTTTGTTTTGCTCCTCTGGCTCTCCATGTTTCCAGTCTTCTTCAGCACACTGGCATTCAAAGGCATGGGCGACTTTCAGGCTTCCTTCTTCATTGTCACCTGTCACGTGCATATGAGACGCTGAAAATGCCAAGGCTCTGGTCAGGCCACCTAGTCCTTGAAGTGCCCTCTTTGTTCTGTAACTCTTCAAAGAGGTTTGGCAGCAGATTTGTCAGTGGACCCAATTCAATGTGAATTGTTGAGTTGCGAATATATCTTTTGATTTCTTGATTGCATCTTCCATGGGGTATGATTGTGGGTTTAAGTAAAATGGAATCCTTGAGAACTTCAACCTTCTCTCCATGTATCATGATGCTGTCTCTGGGTCTGGTTGTGAGAATTTTTTTTGTTTTCATTGAGTGTGATCCATAGGAATGCTGTAGACTTTGAGCTTCATCTGTAAGTGCTTTGAATCCTTTTGGCTTTCAGCAAGTAAGGTAGTATCAACTGTATATCCAAGGTTGTTAAGGAGCCTGCCTTCAATCCTGATGTAAGGTTTTCATCATAATCCATCTACAGATTGTGTACATATGGTGCAGGATTGATGCACACCTTTGCTGACTTACACCATGAAGTATCTCTTTGTTCTGTGTGAGTTCTGTTCTTAGTCTATGTACAGATTCCACAAGAACATAATGAAGGGTTCTGGACTTCCCATTCTTTGTAATGTTATTTAGAATTTGCTATGATCCGAATACCTTTGCCGAGTCAATGGAACACAGGTAAACATCTCTCCAGTGTTCTCTGTTTTCCACCAAGGTCCCCCTGACTTCGGCAGGGATGCCCTTTCTTTCACATCTCCTGAGCCCGGTCTGAATGACTGCAGCTCCCTGCCAGGACACTGGGGCACCTCCCGTCGGAAGTTGCAGCAGAATGTTGGCGTGGGCATTCTTCCCCTCCAAGCCAAGTGGTAGAAGTGACAGCCGTGTGTGAGGGGTTGTGCAGGAAGGTTCCGTTGCCTTGCACACTCCAGAGGACGGCAGAAAGAAAGCTTCATTGGAACCAGAGAGGGCCAGGAAACGGAGTAACCTCAGTTGTTTTGCTTTCCTCTGGGAGTTGTGAGAAAACGCAGTTCTAGACAAGTAGCTGTACTTTAGAGAAAATTTCATCGAAAAGTATTTTTCACTTCAGAAAATTTGTAAATGCAGAATGCTTAATAGGTGCTGTAAATATTCTTGAGTAGTAGAAGTATAATTGAAAGCACAGATCTCCAGGTAGGCCTTACATTCAAATCCCAATTCTTCCGCTTTTTAGGGGTATGATTTTGGACTAGTTAACGTCTCTCAGCTGCTGATTTCTCCCCCCTCTTCCCCCCATGGTAAAATGAGGATAATGATTATTGCATACCTTGCAGGGATTTTGTGAAAGGTAAGTAAGAAAATATGCTAGTGCTAAGAACAGTGCCTGCCACGTAGTAATTATTCAGAGTACATACATATTGGATGTTTGAGGTTTGACTAACCGTAAGCCACATTTTATATAGGTAGACAAGCCTGCAAACAGCTTGATAGTGTTTCACATCTAATAGAGCATATGTTGTTTATGTGTGTGTGTATGCTCTTGTACTAAATGATACTCTTTCTCCTTATACAAGGTGTGTTTTATTGGCAGAAGCAATGTTGGAAAGTCTTCCCTAATAAAGGCTTTATTTTCACTGGCCCCGGAGGTTGAAGTCAGAGTCTCAAAAAAACCGGTATGTTGACATGGGTATATCTAGACTATCTCTGAATTGACAGAGGGTAATAAACGCTAGGAGGTGCAAGAAATCGTATTTGTCATCTGAGTTCCTGAAGTAGCTTCTTCCAAGCAAGTAATAAAGTAAATCCAGCCCACTGCCACCAAGTCAATTCTGCCTCACTGACCCCATAGTACAGAGTCTCTGTGAATTTCGGAGGTTGCAAGCCTTTACGGAAGCAGACAGCCTCATTTTTCTCCCATGGGACAGCTGGTGGGTTTGAACCACTGACCTTGTTGGGTTAGCAGCCCAACACATCACTTACCACCCCACCAGGGCTCCTTTAACAGAAAGGCGTTTCATTTAATACCTGTGTATTTCTCTGGAAAAAATGGCTGTAGCTGAGTTTATTTTAGCAGTCTTAATCATGAAGAAATCTCCTCTTTGTTCAAATCTTTTAAAAAGATTATTTTTTAAAAATAATCTCTTTTAAAAGACAATTATTTGGCAATCATTGCCCTTATTGTCATTGTATGGTTGTTCAGCTGTAGGATTCTTGCCTTCCATGCAGAGATCCAGGTTCAATTCCCAGCCAGGTCATTTACGTGCACTCACTGCCCATCTCTCCCTGGAGGTTTGCATGTTGCTATGATGTTAAACGGGCTTTAGCAGAGCTTTTAGACTAAGATGGACTAGAAAGAAGGCCTGGTGATCTCATTCCTAAACTGAGTCCGTGCAAACTGTATGGATCACAGTGGTCTGAGCTTTGGCCACAGTTGGATGGCACAGAACCCAGCAGCTGTTGGTTCCATTGAGCGTGAGGTTGTCCTGGGTTGGGGCCAGCTTGATGTCATCTAACAACAGTCTGTATTTGCTCCTGTGATAGTGACCTCATAGGTCTGCACTGAGGTTAGCGAAATAGCTTTTAAGGTTTTTTTAATCCTTACCATCTTTTGTACACCTTGCTGCTCTATGAGGATCTCTGGTGATGCGGTGGTTAAACACATACTTGCTTAATCCCAGCAGCCACTCTGAGGGAGAACGATGTAACTGTTTCCATAAGATGTACAGCCTTGGAAACCCAGTGGGCTCACTGTGAGTCAGCAGTCAACTTGATGGCAGTGGGTTTAGACTTTTATCTGTGCATATAAGCATGTAGTCTGTAGGTAGATATATAGATGGTGGGGAAAGGGAGGTACAGACATTGCCCCTCATATACTGAAGGCAAAATTATGAGGGGACTTCAGATCCAAGTCAGTCTGCTGTGGTAACTTTCTTTAATTCTCTTTACTTCCTCCTCAGTGATGCAGACACCTCTCTCTACCAATACCTGAAACACCTTCCTCTTAAAACTCACCCCTAAGTCCATTTCCATCCACACGAATGCTCACCACCCCACCCCCATGATCCCGTGGAAATTGTCTTCTGTTCCTCTCCACTTAACATGGTAGCTGTCGTGATTGCTCAGGGTCAGCAGAAATTAAGTGTTGCTAAACCTTGTTTTTATTCTTCAATCCTTTCACCTCAGTGCTGCCCTGCCCCACCAAATAGCCTGGCTACACTGTCACTTCCTGCTCTGTGGGGACATTGAAGGTGGGTTTTTGGCACTCCCAATGTGTGGGTCTAAAGTCATTTTCCTCTAACTACACAAATACACTGACCTAGGAACCTAATCGTCATTTGAAAGTATCTTTCCTCTAGAAATATTTCCTCTAAGTTCCAAAAAACTCACTAACTTTATCTATCTTAACCCTTTTCTAATGAGGGACTGTTCCATGGACACAAAAGCATGGAGAAACCAGCATCTTTACATGGATTTTGTTGCATAAATATTTATAGTTACAAAGTCATTCGTGCTTTTTAAAAACTAAGTGAACGCACCAAAAACTAGGCGGAGCATCTGACTCTGCAAAGAGTATCCTATTATCCACTGCATAATCAAATACAGCGGGGCCTTGCTGTTCTCTGTGAGTGGGCTTTACCTTTCACAGGTAAACCGTCTTTGGACTTTTCTGTTGCTCATCCTCTGGCAGCTTTCTGCCTTAAACAGGCCCTGGCCTTCGCAGGGTTTTCTGCATTCTAGGCTTTGTGAGTAGGACTTAGGAAACCCTTGGTGCCTGCATTTTAATGCAGTCACCTCATCCCCAGTAGACTGACTGTTTCACCACCAGAGATGTTTAGTGAAGCAAGAAACACTCCAAAATTCTTTTCCCACAGGTTCCAATTTGGGACCTGAATCTCTTCCTAGGTCATGCAGATTTTATTTACAAACAAAAGCATAACAAGCTCGGTAGTATATCCTCAGGTCGTCACTGGCCACTTCTCACATCTTCCACTGTACAGTCTACAACAGACTAACGATTTTCTACAGAACACTTGGGGTTTAATAAATACAACTCGAGGGTGGAAAACATTTTGCGCTGTGAACTGTGTAAAGGGTATGCTTTAAGACGCATTTAATTTTCTGTTTACTTTCTAAGGGACACACAAGGAAAATGAACTTTTTCAAAGTCGGAAAGCACTTTACAGTGGTGGACATGCCAGGTTATGGCTATCGAGCCCCTAAAGATTTTGTTGACATGGTAGAGGCCTACCTAAAAGAACGGAGGAAGTAAGGAAACATTTTTCTCTCATAGTTACACATTTTACCCAGCAATCTACACAGTGAGCACTTCAGCCTTTGCAAATGAAGGCCCGTTTTATTCTGCAGTACAGCGTGTAGGACTGAAGGATGCACTGCTTGCTTAGGGTCTGCCTGTATGTAAGTGTAATAGTTTTCACCAATTAAAACTGTATAAAATACTTGAGCAGAGTTAATTTATTAGTTTTTAGCTCTTTTAAAAAATCAAATTTAGCTAATTTTGAAAATGAGAATTGTTGGCTAATATATCTGATTTTATTAAACTTAAATGCTCATCTTTCTTAAGATACTTCTGATGTAATGACGTATCTTTTATCTTCTAGTGGCTTGTGCTTCTTGAATTACATAATATATAGAAAACAATGTTAAACTTCTGAAGTGTAAAGAAATGGTTACATATTTTGGTTGTAGCTCTAAAGGCAAATAGCAATTTTCATAGAAACTAAGATGAAGTAATTACTTAAGAAATTACTTCAAAAATACACTGTGCCTGTTTCTGGTTATACGTTAGGGCTCTTTAAGGCATTGTGAAGGAACTTAAACCTTTGTATGAGTCTTGTCTTGCTCTCCACCAGAATCCCTGCTTTTAAAGGGAGGCCCATTCACATGTAGCCAGTCTCAGAGTGCCCTATGTTTAATAAGTACTTATCGAAATCAGTTTTTATTTAGTGAATTCAGTTATTGAAATAAGCAGCATTGACACCTATTGAACTGTTGGATGAACTTCTTGGGGAATTAAGAATTCCTTTTGCCTACGGAAACGTCTGAATTTCGGTTGAGAATCACTCAAAGGGAATTTCCTAGTCTAATGGAGTTGCACTGAGCTGGTGGCAGCAAGTTTTTGTGTGTGTGGTTTTTTGAGTGAGGGTTGGGGAGAGGCAATAAGTGGATGAGTATACTTCATGTTTCCATTGATCTTCATTTCTGCATTCTTACAGCTTGATAAGAACATTTTTGTTAGTGGATAGTGTTGTTGGAATTAATAAAAATGACAATATCGCCATAGAAATGTGTGAAGAATTTGCATTACCTTATGTGGTAAGTATTTGTTGGTAGGATGGTTAGAAATGCTGGGTGTGTGTGTGTGTGTGTGTGTGTGTTGTGTGTTTTTAAATGAATGAGCAGATCTGGCCTCACAGAAGATAAGAAACTGAAGAAAATATTTTCTCCATTATCAACTTCATGTTAAAATAAGTTTTATTTCTCTCAGCTTTGTTTTTGGAATTAGAGTCAAAGTAAAAGTAGTTTTCTAAAGCTTTCATTTAATGTCCCTAAATGCTTTCTCTTACGTGTTTTACAAGGCAGTAGAAACATTTGACCAAATATGTCAGTCGCTGCTTAACAGTAGGAAATACTTAATTAGCATGTAAAGAAAACAGCCGCAGCTGAGAACTCTGCTAACCTGATCTGGGATTTGAGACTCATTCCAAGGACTTGGCAGGCTGCAGCGCACGCGGGAGGGATTCAGCACTCCAAAAACACAATTCCTCCGCCAGTCTCTTCCAAGTGCTTGCTGTCATTCGACCGAGAGTGGGATCGGACGTTCGTTTTACTTTATGACGCTTCCGAGTAAAGCATTCTTTTACGTCCTTTTCTAAGAGAAAATGAGCTCAGTAGCTACAATGGGGTTTCAAAGAGGTGACAGAACTACTAACACTTGACAGTGACGTTAATGCAAATCACGCCATGTTATTAGACTGCCACTTTTGGGGGTTTTATGGAATTTGGGGGTTTGCAAAAGCCATTTGATACCTTAGAAATAACTTAAAGGACTCCCGGGGCTTAATGAACATAATCACACATAGTAAAAATGCCTGAATGTTGCCAAAATGGTTTCATATGATTCTCTGTCATAGGTTCGTTTTTTAAAGTATATGTTCTTCAGTTTTAAGTGAAAAAAATTTTTTCTTCTTAGGAAAGAAGGTAGGGATAAGGAAACTTATTACCATATAAGTATCAACATATTTGCTCTTCTGAGGAAAGATTCCCATTTAGTCATCAGGAACCACACATTTTTGTTCTTCTGCCATTAATAGTTTTTATGATTGAAAATGTAACTGATTGTTCAGGCAATTTAAATTTACAGAAGTGTTCTCATTTTCTAGAGAACACTTTTTTGGATCAAGGTTTGGCTTAATCTATGCCTAGGCCCTCCTCCAGTGTGTAGCTTCCTTTAGGACAAGTAAAATGTTAGGCATCCTTGGAACATACCTATAGTGGATACAGCTTAGAAATTACCTGAGTTCTAATGTTACCATTAGATCATTTTCTATATAAGGTTAAACCAGTTTGTTGGTCAGAAATGATAAGTTGGCAGTTGTACATGGTTTAATAATACGTGTGTATATACCCTGCTTTATAATACTCATTTCTTAGACCACACGGTGTATATATGGTGATCCTATGAAACATTTTGCTGTGGCAATTACAACTTGACTTCCAATTCCCTTTCAGCTGATCTTGAATCCAAGACCGCATAGCCTTTCGTAGTTAGAGCATCCATCAGCTCCTGTGCTTGCTCTGGCATGTACCTTTGACTCCCCAGAAACTTACCTCCTCGTAGCTAATAGCAGGAGCTGTTTTTGACTATCAGGACCTTACCAATGACAGCAGGTTTACACATGTTCTATATGTATTATACAGTATTATATACTGTACTCTTTCAATACAGTAAGCTACAGAAACCAAAATGTTGTTAAGATAAACCCCTCAAGAACAGAAATGGGAGTAGCCATACCAGGAGTGTAGGGGGAATAAAGGGGGAACTGATCGACACATAACCCCACCCCCACCCCAGAGAGACAAACAAAAGAAACGTGGGTGAAGGAAGACAGCAGTCAGTGTAAGATATGAAAACAATAATTATAATTTATCAAGGGGTCACGAGGTGGGGAGGGGGGAAAGGAGCTGATACCAAGGGCTCAAATAGAAGGTAAATGTTAGGAAATGATGATGGCAACATAGGTACAAATATGCTTGATAAAATTGATGAATGGAATGTTATAAGAGCTGTAAAAGCCGCCAATAAAATGATTTTTTTAAATAGAAAATCATTGGGGGAAGGGGATAACACAGTACTGTCCTATACTTATCAAGTCTGTAAATTTATGGCATTAGTTTACAAGATAAATTGGCATCACATTGAGTAGGCTGAGATGGAGAAGGAGGAATAAGAGTTGATTTTACTGTCTCAGGATTGGCAAAGACAGGGAAAAGGTGGAGGAGATGGGAGGGAGGCAGAAGAGGCAGACACACTCATTGTACATTTAGGAAAATACATTGTAATTCCCGCCTGATCCCCCCCACCCCCAGGTTGATATTCCCTCTCTCTCTCTCTCTCTCTTTGGATTATTGGTCTTTATTATTAAGTTGCAAGAGTTCTTTTTTTTTTTTTTAATCATTTTATTGGGGCTCATACAATTCATCACAATCCATACATACATCAATTGTGTAAAGCACACTTAAACATTTGTTGCTCTCATCATTCTCAAAATTCGCTTTCCTCTTGGGTTCCTGGAATTAGCTCATTTTCCTTTTTTCCCCTCCTCCCTCCCCACTCCCCTCTGCCTCATGAGCCCTTAATAATTTATAAATTATTATTATATCTTATCTTACACTGCCCGGCCTCTCTCTTCACCCACCCTTCTGTTGCCCATACCCCAGAGAGGAGGTTATATGTAGATCCTTGTGATCAATTCCCCCTTCCTACGCCCCCCTCCCCTCCCGGTATCGCCACTGTCACCGCTGGTCCTGAGGGGTTCATCTGTCCTAGATTTCCCGCGTTTCCAGTTCCCATCTCTGGTCTAACCAGGTTTTCAAGGTAGAATTGGG